TTTGGTTCATACTTCTTTTCTCAGTATTACTGCAATCAGCCAAAATGTTTATTCTTTGTTTTTGTTGTTGTTAAGAACTTTTCCTTTTTTTTAAAGATTTTATTTATTTATTTGACAGAGAGAGACACAGCGAGAGGGAATACAAGCAGGGGGAGCAGGAGAGGGAGAAGCAGGCTTCCTGCTGAGCAAGGAACCTGGGATCATGACCTAAGCCAAAGGCAGATGTTTAATGACAAAGCCACCCAGGTGCCCCCAAAACGTTTATTCTATCTAAAAATGCCAGTATTTCACAATGGAATGATCAAAGCAGAAATGTATGCTATATTATAGGAAAGAACCTCCTAAATATGAGAAAATGAATTTTACTTTCATTGTTGTTTCCATCAAAGGGGTAAGATAAAGAATTAAGCAAAAATACATTGATCTTTCAAGTGGAGAGGACATTAATAATATTGATTTAACCAATGAAACTGCCTTTTGATTTGGAATGGTAGTCAGGCTTTATATTATGAAACAGTAAGTAGGAAGCATTTTTAAATCAATGTGACAAGTAAACTTTATTAATATTTTAACCACAATAAATGTAACAAATCCCTCTTTCCCATTATCAAACTGATTATATTTTAGATTACTCTTTAGATCTAAAGATAAAGATATTTTATTTCCTTTAGATGCAACCAGATGAAGCCTGTGGAACAGATGGAGGGCACAACCTGGAATGGAGCCTTATGGAGACATATTTGTCATTAAATCTCCACAAATCACACTTTACCACTTCATGCGGTATACACCTATGGCTGCTTGATTATGTACTTTGCTGCCACACAAGAGACTCTGTAGCCCTGTAAATGCCTATTTTGTTATCTTTATAATGTGCCTTAAAACAATAACAAAATAAGGGGACTGGAGTATCATAGAGAGATAATGTCCACAGGAGGTCATAAGATACTTTAATAAGACCGCTTCCTGCCAAAATTCCTGTTTTATATTCTAGCCCTATGTTCCCCTGAGGTGAAAATGGGAGTTTGCCATTTAAGATTGATTTTCTTAGTTTCTTATGATATAAATGCACCTGTTCAAAATAACTTTGTATTGATAGACTGAAGAAAATTTGTTCTAAGTGTTCCTTCTCTTAAGCCCTGTATTTTGCCTAGAACAGGAGTTGATCTTTGAAAACTGATTCTCAAAACAGCAAGTTGTTCAAGGGGTAGAATTTGTAGTATTTTATAAACATATAATCTTGGAACTCCTGACTGGCTAAGTCAGTTAAGCATCTGCCTTCAGCTCAGGTCATGATCCCAGGGTCCTGAGAACATATAGTCTCAACATACTTATCTCAAATTGAATTTTTGAAAGATCCCACCCATGCTTTTATGGCTTTTATGTTTTAAGGAGATGGATTTTGTGTTTTAAGGAGATTCTGAACTCTGAAAATTAAAAATTGTATCTATGAATATTTTATGTTGCTCATTGTATCTTATAAATGTAAATAATGTGATTTTTTTGTCTACTTATACTGTATTTTAGGTCAGTGCAACAGTAAATCCTCAATTTATTATCCACAGGAGTAAAAATTGACACTGTATAGCAAACAGGTTCATAATTTCTATGAAGTTTTCACAGTATTAAAATAAACCAAGTAATGACTTTAGATTTCTAAAATGTAAAAACAATAGAAAATTAAAAGAATACAACACATTTTTTTCAGTTTGAGACACATAAAAGTATCTAAAAATGCAAGTTATATAAATAACTACAAGAACTTTAAATTTCAAATAAAATTCACAAATAAGAGGTCATAAGGAAGTGGATGGTTTAATATAAAAAATTAATCTGAATAAGTTATATTTCAGTTTGGAGAAGAGACAGATCAATTGAAATAGAGTCAAAATGTACAAGGAGACCTTGAAGAATTGAAAACTCGGTTTCTTTCTCTTTATGGTTTTAAGATCTCTAATGTCTGCTGATTTCTGCTCTTCAGTCCTCTGTGCATCTGTCTCATTTTTGTTTTTCTTCTACAGATAAACTCTGTTGGTTCCTCTTGCTCATGGTTTAATTTGTGCCTCCTGCCCACTCCCCACATCAAATGGTAGCCTTTGCCGTTGATTCTCCATCAACTGAAAGCTTTCTCAGTTAATTAACGTAGTTTCTCTTTACCTAAATTAAGAACTCCTAGAAAATAGACTCTCACTGGTCCAATTTGGAGAACTAAGATAATAATTTTCACATTGTTCTTTTAGGCCATGCATATATTTTAAGTGGAAGCCAACAATGAGGAAATAATTACAATATAACAAAGTACTGAAGTTTGGTAAGATATGGGCAGATTAATGGGATAGATTTATGACAGCTAAACTTTGTTAGAAAGTGAAAACACTTTTTCATTTACTTTTATAAACAAGCTCTTATTCATTGCTGTCAGACATATTTCTTTTCTCACAGTTGACCCAATATTCAACATTTAATTCTGTTTTCATGCAATTTCTTTCTTTGTTTTATATCTCTTTCTGGAAGTTTCTCTAGTGAATCTACCAAATGTTTTAGTATGTTTGTGATACATAATTAACATTTTAATATGCCATTCAATTTTCTAATTGTGTCACATATATTTACTAGTTACCATATATTCATATGTGTGTACCTGGTCACACCTACACAACTGTAGAATTCTTGAAGTTGTAATGTTTCTCATACTTATTTCTCAAAAACCATAGTCACATTATAAAATTCTGGAATTAGAGCATGGTGCTAGGCTCCTGTGGCCAGAGGTCAAACACTATTCTTCAAAATCTCAGAGGGAGTTTAGGGCTGAAACTATAGCTGTGGTTCAATAAAAATTTGTAGTCAAATTATAGGAAGGTACTACATATATAGGTCCCAAAATTGTTTCAGAGTATTTACTTCCATACCTTTGTCAATAAAACATGTGAAAGATTAGAGGCAAAAGCACCTATGATTTATTAAGGGCTCACACATAAAAATAAATTGATGATGGATGAAAAGCAAACTTCTAACTGAATATTCAACCTTAAATTTTACTTACTTGGGTAGAATCATCTTAATTGCAGACATGCAAAATGTATATTAATCTGAGGTTAAGTGCTTCACCATCTGGTTTTCAAAAGGAAATGCACTAATCAGAGATCTCCCAAAATCTGATTAAGTTACAAAGAAAATAACTTAAGGAAAAGATATGAGAGGAGAATATTTTTATGATAACTTATATAATTTAGGAAATCAATTAGAATGTGAACAATTAGAAAGCAAATATATTTTTCTGAGTAAAAAATAGACTAACAAATATTTCACTATTATCTTGTGATGCAATTCAGAGACTAGTATAACAAAAATTTTAAACATTTTAAAGAAATGAAATTCAGATTTTAACCATTTTATTATATTATATTACTGTTTTTCTAGTAAGAAATTCTAATGTTTAAAGAACTACAACATTTGTTTCATGAATGGAATTGTATGCAGTGCTACTTAATGTGGGGTCAGTAGATCAGCTGCCAGACCATAGGCTAATCAGTACTGTGCCATGATGAAAAATAAAACAAAACAAAATAAAACATCATTGTGAGCTTAATAATAGAGATGATTTTATTTTTGTAACAAACCCTTTCATCAAATTGTACACTAAACTGTACACTTTTTTGTACAATTTGTGGTAAGGCAAATATAAAAAGCACAGCTTTGCTCATATACTCAAAATCTCTATAGTTTTATCTTATGGATCAGAATTACTAACAAATTCTTTCCTTTTTTGTTTATCAGAACATATATATTGTCTTCATTTTGAAAGACAGTTTTATTGGATAGAGAATTTTTTATTGAATTTTCCTTTCAGCATTTTGTCATTCCATTGCTATCTGTCCTTTCTTTTTTTTCTGATGGGAAGTCAATGGTAAGTCATATAATTGCAATTATTCTATAGGTGTCTGAATCATCTTTCCCTTACAGTTTTAATAATCTCTTTGTCTTCCAGCAGTTTGTTATTGTTGGTCTGGCTATTGATATATTTTTGTTTCTCTTACATGAACTTAAATAGAATCAAATTTGAAAAATGTTTAACCATGAATTCCTCCTAGTTTTTTTTTTTTGGTTTTTTTTTTTGTAATTTTTTTCCTCTCTCTCCTTGGGAAATTCATTACACATTCTTTGGTATGCTTGATATTGTTCCACATATTTTTGCTCATTTTTATTTATTTATTTATTTATTTTTTGCAATCTGTTCTTTATATTGGATAATTTCTATTGATCTGTTTTTGTTTGTATTTTGTTTTGTTTTTAAAGTTAAAATGAGTATTTTAATTTAGTTTCATAAAAAGATGGCACATGAATTTGGATTAGAAAAAAGTTTTGTTTTTCCAGAAATGCAGGGAAAAGAAATAACTCTTATTGGGTTCAATGATAATTTCCTGGATCTTGTCTTTGCCTTGAAAGCTATATCTTTTCCCCAAAGCATCTACTTCAAGAATCACCTGACACTGTTTATCTCCCTCTAGCTAGAACAAGCTAACTCCCCTTCACCCCTCTCTTTCAGCCATACTGTGTGGGTGCTGAAGACCCTGGGGTCTGACAATGAATAAGCTAGCAACCCACAGGCAGTGGCACCCAAAGCCCCACTCCCAGTCCCCATGGGCAAGTCACAAAGCTGACATTGTTTCCACGGTCTCAGGACAAGGATCCAAAAGCTGACCATAAGCACAAATCAAGGCTAAATATGGAGAAAAATGAGAGCTCCTAACACCAGAGTAAGCTGCAAGCTGGGGCAGGAAAAGAGAATTTTTGAGTCATTCCATTTTTAGGAACAAGGGGAAACTGGTTTCTTTTCCACTGCTATGGTTCTATCAGCTACTCTACTGCTACTGAGTTCCAAGGTGATGTGCAAGCACAAAAGGGTCTGAATAAATCAGGAGAACTTTGCCCTGGGTGGAGAAGGGAGTAGCAGAAGAAGTTAGGTCAATGAATCATTTATAGGAAAACATTGACAGCTCTTAACATGGATATAGGAAGACAGCTCTTAACGTGGCTGTCAGCCCTGCAGAGGACAATCCAGTAAGAACCAAGACAACCACTCCAGATTGGTATAGCTGGAGAATCTTCAGGCCTTTCTCTAGGTTCCACATCAAGTGTTAGATCCTATTCTAGGTATGATACATGAGAGGGAAGACAAGTGCAAAATTGGCTGTGTAGATCAGTGATGTCCCCAGACACATGGACTTTACAAGTTTCAAATAAGATTGAAAGTTGCCAAGAGCCAAGAGGGCCAACAAGCCAAAGAGAAAGACCTTTGTACTCAAGGCCAAAGGGTGCCAAAGGGATATCGCCATGGGAAGATGTCCACTGTAGATAGTGATATGCAGAGACAGAATACAGTTTAAAGTAGTGTTCTTTTTCCAGAACTTCTCCATCTTTTCTCTGGTTATAGTTCCCAAAGGAACAGCATTTCTGATACAGAGCTTAGGACTTAGATGGGCACAGCGGCAATGACAACCAACATGTCTCAACAAGAGCACAGCCATCTTCTCTACTGATCTACTTTTAAATTAAATGATTTGTGCTTTACATTTCTGTTCTGCTTTTAAATCCATCTAGCCAATGTTTTTCCATTATTTTGGTTATTACATATTTAAATCCTAAAATTTTCTTTTATTATATACAGTTTATGTTTCTCTACTAGAAGTCCTTTTGACAAACCACTATAATCATATTTTTCTTTAACTCCTTAGATACAGTTTTCTTTAATTCCTTTAACATATTTATAAAAGCATCTATGAAGTCTGCTGAATCTAGCATACGGATCTATTTAGAGACATTTTCTCTGACTGCTTTTTCCTTGAGTATGAGTCAACTTTTCTGTGTCTTTTATGCCTTGTAATTTTTATTGTCACTATTGAAAATTGGACATGTTGGACAATATAATGTAACAACTTCAGATTCTTTTTTTTACTTACCCAAAGCTTTATTTTTTATTTTATTTTTTGTAACTTAAGTTTATTGAATCTTTCCCCCCATGGTATGCAGGTTTTAATGTCACTGATCATTTTTTGTTTTTTTAAACCTTTTTTTTTTAAGATTTTATTTATTTATTTGACAGAGAGAGAGAGATCAGAAGTAGGCAGAGAGGCAGGCAGAGAGAGTGGGGAAAGTGGGCTCCCCGCTGAGCAGAGAGCCTGATGTGGGGCTCGATCCCAGGACCCTGAGATCATGACCTGGGCTGAAGGCAGAGGCTTAACCCACTGAGCCACCCAGGCACCCCTATTTATTATTATTATTATTTTTATACTGGTTAGTTAGAAGTTACCCCAGTGTCTAAATTGATTAGTTGTCAGATAGCTTAGTACTTTTTTCCCCTCAAATATCTGAGATTGTAAGGCTTCTTTTCTGACGGAAGATTTTTGTGGATTGGAGAGTGTTCCTGTGATTAGTTAATTTTCAAGCCTGCCTGAAGCTTTTACTTTTTTCTGTGTCCTCTTGGGTTTTCCCTCTTCGTGTGCAAGGTTCCCAAATTATTGAGAGATATATGCAGAACTTCCTCAGCGCTTCTTTTCCTTTACTATGGCCCCGTTAAAGTTTTGTTTTGTTTTGTCTTGTTTTTGCCACTCAGGACGTGGGATTTATGCTTTACCATGTGCCACTTACTGAGATTGAAAATATGGAAAACAGAGTTATGTAACTTTTAACAGATGTTTTGATATTGTTGAAAAACCAAATTCATATTTGAGTTTTTAGGTCAGTAACAGTCTCATTTTACTTTCCAACTTTAAGGACATTTGGGGTGGGGGGAAGACATAATGAGATTAGAATAGTCTGTGCCTTGATTCTGAAAGAGCTAAATTTGAAGCTTGGCAGCCAGGCTTACTTAATGTAGTCTCCTGGCTCCTGTTTATTTTTGCTGATGTCAGTGATTTACAAACTCTGAATGTTAGGTTATAAATGAGATTTAAATTAAATGATTTAAATAAAGCAATTGTCAGATTTCTAAGAAAAAAAATGCTATCCCCCCATTTGACACATTATTATGAACAAGCATATGAATGTGCTGATTCCATTTAGAATGCAAGTTTACTAAATTATGTGCATGGATTACATAAAATTTTTATCAGGGCGGTGCAGCCATTAGTGACTTTCTGGTTTACCTCTCCCCAGTCTTTTTTTCTAGGTATCTCTTGACATCAAGAACTAAAAGTTCTTCATTAGTCCATGGCTATTCACATTCAAGAAGTTCCTATATTAAGGAGATTAAGGAAACACTCTCCATGTTTCTTTCACTTAGGAATCACCTAGAGAATTGTTAAAATATTACTGCATTATCTCCAATTCCTCAGGGATCATTTTAGTCTAGTTAGTCTCTTACAAGACCCCTGAATGATACATCTCCTAAAAGATTATTGGCTTCTTATTGGACCTCTTCATGAGACAAACTTATCTCCAATTATTTCTCCTCTAGGAAGCAGCCATAAAGTCATTTGCATAGTATTTGCTTTTGACTGTATGTGGTAAAGACAGTTTTGCTTAAGAGATCAGAAATATAATTCTCTCCATTGGTTGATTTGTATTTTTTTTAACTTAATAAGTAAATGAAGTAAAATTGCTACTGCAGCGATTATTGAAGGATCTCATTGCTATTATATTTTAATAGCTTTCCTTAATTCCATGAGAAGTCTATACTTTCCCCCTTCTTCCATATTGAACAAATCATTCTTTCTGGGAGATTTTCCTTTTGAGTATCATGCCTATAAAGCCTCAGAACATTTTTCTATTGCTTCTGTTGATTTTTTTAAGTACTTATTAGAGAAATATACCAAGTTTCTAAACAAAAGATATGATCAGCAGAACACTGACCTTCCTTTGACACACATCAATGTCTCTATAAAGACCACAGACAGCTTTTGAATGTGTTTTCTAAATTGTGTAACAGTGTTAATTCTTTGTCTTAAAAGTTTATCCACTGAAAGAAATATATAATAAAAGAAACATGAGCCCTGGTGTGAGATATCATTTTTTGAAAAGCAAATTTCATTTTTATTTTCAATTTTTGAAAGATTTATTTATTTGAGAGAGAGAGCGAGAGAGCACAAAGGTAGAGTAGAGGGAGAGAGAATCTCAAGCAAACTCTGATCTGAGCGTGGAGCTCATTGTGGCTCTGAGATCACAACCTAAGTTCAAACCAAGAGTTGGTTCTCAACCAACTGCACCATCCAGGTGCCCTGCAAATTTCATTTTTCAAACTTTATTGCAAAGACTAATAAAAGTCTTAAAAGAATACTTTAGTTGTTTTTTTTGGAAGAAGTGTGTTCAATAATAAATATGTTAATATTTAATCATTAATGGTTAATATGTATTAAAAACTTATTCAGTGTCAAGGTCTTTATAGTCACCATTTACTTATATCCTCAAAGCACCTCTATAAATTAGATAGTCCCATGTTTTGGATATGGCCACTAAGATTTAGATAGATTAAGTAACTTGCCTAAAGCAACAGAGTTTGGTATTTAAATATAGGCAGTCTGATTCCTGAGTCTGTAGTGTTAAATCTGAAGCAATGCCATCTCCCCACTTTGGGCTGATATTTCTGAGGTAGTACATTTTAAAATAATATAAATACAATAATTATTACATACAGTCCTAAATTATCTTTTGGGGAGAAAATTATGGATCTATTTTTGCTGGAATTTTTCCAATTGTGTAAAAATTCCAGAGTTTATATGGATCTTCCACTGGTCTTGTCCATACTGGACATGACTAAACTCACAAGGTTCCAGGCAGGTAGAAAGATACTGGACTAAAAATATGAAGATTTGAATTCTCATTCTTTCCTTTCATTAATTTTTCTAGAACCTTGGATATAAATCTTTAAACGTGATAAATTATAAAACAAATGTAATATCTTCTATTTCATATCTACTTCACAGAGAGGTAGCAAAGTAAAATTATTTATGCTAAGGGTTTAGCGAAAGACAGTGTCGGGCAAATTCATTGGTCTTTCAAGAGTATGATTATAATAGACACTACTACCTGGAGAAAAGTAGTATGTTTAACTTCTGGGGCTGAAATCTTAGTTTTAGAATTTATTTTTGTCAATATCTTTCCCTTAATATCAAATTTATCCATGGATCAGTTTTCATTTTATTAATTTCATTTAATTAATCATTAATTAATAAATTTGAAATTGATTAATTTCATTTATTAATTAATATTCATTTACTAAGAAAAGTCAAAAGAAAATAATAATTATTGTTATTATGTTCAGTGTGTGCTGAGCACTTCATATAAATAATTTATATGAACTTCCTCATCTAGGAGATAAGAACTTAACATAAAAACTTGGTCAAGAGAGATTCCTCAACCTGTCCAAAGTCACCTAGTTAGCAAGTCTTAGAACTAGAACTTAAATCTACAGTCTAATTTTGCAGTCTTTTTTAATGTAGAACCCAAGGATTATCCAAGGGCATTCTTACTTCTTGAAAGAGAAACCAGTTGAAAATCAATTCTGACAAAAGTAAAAGTAGCAAAGTGTCAATGGACAAGGGCAGTTAGAATTCAGGAAGTCAGCATTCTTATTTTGCTTTTACTTTTGGTTCATACTGGTTTCTTATTGTTCTCATACCTGAGGAATTGGCAGGACTAGTACCTTCTTTCATTTAAAGCTTACTGGTATGCAGTCTTGCTTTATTTAAGATACAGTTTTCCCAGTAGAATGTTGGTCTTTGTTAACTCCCAGCTGAATAACTAACACATGGCACTTTTCCTGAAAAATCTCCATATGTTTCACACTGTGCAAAATACAGCAGCTTAACTCCTAATCATGATAAACAACTTTGACATTTGCAGTGCTAGGACATTTTGCTCTACACTGGTAAACTGGTTCCAGTATAATTTACAATTATTTTTTTTTTCTCAATTCTTTCCAATAGGAGGGGTCTGCTTTTATACTGAATTCTTCATTACCTTTCTCTTCATCATCTTTGGTTTTGTTTCCATTCTACCTATCATATCTTATACATATATACTTATGTAGAATAGAGGTTAAGGATTGGGCCTCAGGTGTTGGACCACCAGTTTCCAAATCTCAGTTCCATCTTTCTAATTATGTACCTTTGGGAAAGCTGCAAAATTTCTCTCTTTCTTTCTGTCTGTTTTGTCTTTCTGTCTTTCCTCTCTCTTTTTGTTTCTCTTTCACCTTTACTTTCTTTTATTTCTAAAGATTATTGTGAGTGTCAACAAATGTGGCATATGATAAGGTTTCTAAAAACACCAAGTTGTTTGTAAGTTGTTTGCTCAATTCTGACCTCTTCAGTGAAAGTGACCACTTATTATCTGCACCAATCATTGAACACAAAACTATAGATTGTCTGAGGTTTTAATTTATAAGTAAAAGTACCATTGTTTTCGGTCAGTAAACTCATCATATTAGATAACTATTTTTTAGATACTTCCAGTGATTAGAAATTCATTTTTTGTAGTTAAAAAAATTGAGTTTTTATTTTAGTTTCAACTTTATATATTTTGGAACTAAATT